CACACTCCAAATGGAATTCTGGGATTACTGCTGCTGCTGCTGTTCTACCAGTTTTAGGGTCTTTAGATCCATAAATCTGTATTTAATTGTGGTAACTGATGTATGACTTGAAGATCTTACAGTTTCCCCCACGTTCATCTCTCATCAGTTCAAGGAGGCCAAGATCAATTTCTGGCTGTGGCAGTAACCAAAGAGGAACAGCTAACCACAGCTGGAGAATAACTCCTATAACCTAATTCACTAGCCTTCTTCTTAACAACCCAACCAAAGCTCTTTGTTGGCCTGTTGTCATGTTCCCAGCAAGGCTCAATTGCACTTATTGTTGGATTGTTATGTCCTTGTAAACTGACCCAATATGTCATCATGATCTGTATTCTTCTCAACTCCAACGGCATTTCCCCCATTTCTACCTGCAATGCCAGCACAGATGTTGTTTTAAAGACCCCACTACATATTCTTGACGCTTGTATTACATCCAGTTTTCCCAACAAGGTTTAAGACGCCGACCTATATTCCACACAGCCATAGTCTAGAACTGATCTTGAGCGACTGTGGCTAAGTGGAGTGCAGGGCCGTCCTTCAATCAGAGGAGCGGCAGTTCGATCCCCGGCTCCGCTAGGAGCATGTCGAAGTTTGGATGTCTTTTTATATATTTAACTATGTTATTATTATAATTGAGGATATAAGATTGGGCATATTTTAGTTTTTGGATGTCATATTTATTTAAACATTTATATAAATAAATATATGTGAAGATAGCGTCATTTCTAAATCATACAACTGTAAATTTAAGAAATTTAAAAACTGAACCAACTGTCCAAACATCACAGCTACATAAACAGGCTACACACGGAGGAAAAGCAACGCTGCAAGTTTCCGTCAGTGACAATTGTGCTTTTCTTTTAATACGTTTTGTGATGCTTCACAATCATTAATCGATGGACACATTCCAGTGCTCTGACTGAAGAAATGTTGACATCAAGTAGGATGTAGGCTTTCTCAATAAATATCTTTATTTACAGATGCTAAATAAATAACCTTATATATTATTATTGTTATTGCACAAAATGAGACGAATAGCCAACAATCTAGCATTAAGTATTACAATTAGACAGAAAATTAGGATTTAAATTTTTTTTATACTATATTTATCCTGTTAATTAAGGATAAATTTGTCTCTGCATTTGACCCATCCCTATATATGGGGAGCAGTGGGCTGTCTTTGACATGCCACACGTCAAAAGCCATGGTTCGAACGAACAACCTTGTGGTCACCAGAAAAACCTCTTAACCCAGTGAGCCATGGTCACCCACCTTTTCCACTAAAGAAAATCTAAGAGCCAATCAGCTCTTTGATCCGAAGACAGCAAGAAGTTTCCCATCATGCCCTGGGGTCATGCAGTCGGTGGAGAGCAATTCTGCATAGCCTGGCTCTAAAATCTGCGGCCGCCTCGCTCACGTGAGGTCATCGTTACGCACGTTTTCATGACGTCAGAGCAAGTCGGACGCAAATCTACCCAGCATGCATTGTGCGCCGATCGCCGGTGATCGATTCTGCGCACGCCTGGCTTAAGTCGAACGAGCCTATGGTCTGTCAAACTATTACGCACAAGTGGCGGAATGCGTAGCGCGTCAGCCTTATGCTGCGTTCACACCAAACGCGTCGCGAATTCATCGCGCCGCATATTCGCCGTATTTCTTTATACGTGGCTGTGATGTAGTGCTCACTTATACAATCGTAATCCCTGCAATTGATATGAGATGTGTCTTTTAGGTCTCCAGCAATATGTTTGTGAATGTGTGACGAATTAGGCGACAGAGGCAGAAAACCGCTGCAGCTGTTAAGCGAACACGCATGGAAGGGAAACCAGTAGGTTCAGAAACCAGCAGGCACGTAATACCGGCGAGCGAAACACCGGCCGGCGGTAAAGAAACACGGCCCGCAAGATACACGCCGCCCGGCGCTAACGAAACACCGGCCGGCGGAATAAACGCCGGCCGGCAAAATAAACACCGGTCGGCAAAAATAGCCGGCTTGTTTGAAGGGAGAGCCAGCCCGGCGCTGCGGTCGCTGACCGGCGCTGCCGCCACGCTGCCCGGTGTTTATTTCGCCGGCCGGCGGAACACGCGGGTTTTTTGTTGGCCGGCGTTTATTCCGCCGGCCGACGTTACCGAAGCACCGGCCGGCAAAATAAGCACCGGTCGGCGTTGCGGTAACGCCGGGCTGAATCTCGCCTTAAAACAAGCTGTGCTGGAAGCAGAGGAAGACAGGAGCTGTGCAATGAAAAAATAAGATAAAAGGGGAAAAAATTCTTAAATTATAAAATAGCTATAACTTTGTGATTCTGTTTAGGCCAGCAGAGAAGGCTTAGCTGGCCCTGACGGCCCACCCACCACTGGTGTATTATTACACCAATAGAAACAAATAACTGTTTCTCAGTAGGACAGCACAGAAGGCCCAGGTATAAAATGCACGGCCCACCACTGAAAGCAGTAGTGTGTTCACGTGAACGGGGCGAACAACATTGGGACCAGGAGATGAGGGGGAGACACCTACATTCAATTCAGAGTAAAGTGAACAGTGTAAGATACAGGGGAGGAAACAGGAGAGAAGAGGTTACAATATCAAGATTAAGAATAGGGCACAGCAGTCTACGCAGCACACTACACATGATAAGCATCCAACCGGTCTCTGTGAGCACTGCCAGGCACCAGAAACTGTACAACATGTTATCACCTCCTGTATTAGACACAGCTCAGAAAGGAGGGGCATGCTGGGAGAAATGCAAAGACTAGGGATGAGAGGAAGAGAGCTGAATAATATAATAGAGTGGGGATCTAGTAATCTGGGAAGGAGGTGCTTTACAAACTTTTTGCGAGCAACGGGTCTGATGGGGAAAGTTTAGTAGTTGGAAACATAGGAACTGACTGAAACTGGAAGATGGCAGTAATACAACAAAAAGGACGAAAGCTGCCATTAAACACCACAGAAGAAGAAGAAGTGAACGGGGCGTGTTGAAAGCATTTAACGGTGAAAGTCACGGTGAGCGGAGGAACTTCAGAAGCCCCCGGCGTGGTGGACAAAACCGTTGCGGTATGTAGGCGTTGTTTAAAGAGAAAGACATACGATAACGGCAATACATCGGACATGTCCACACATATTAAGCGCCACCATCCCGGTCTGTCAGCGACGGCGGACACTCCGGTGTGGAAAACAAAGGATTTCAAAATCCGCAAATCTATTTGCGTCTGTACGTTTTGAAATTCAGATTGTGACGTCATTAAATAACCCAGAATATGATTATTGTTTCTCTTAAATGATAAAACTCATCAAACCCGACACTCAGGAATGAACAGCCTCACGTGACTGAATGAAATGATGATAAATAAATGATGTAAAAAGTGTTTCGTCTCTCCAGTTCCCTCTGACTTTAATTGTTTCCATAATAAAAGTTATTGAGGGAAACATCAGATCATGAAAAAATCTTTCTAATAAATGTAGAACGTTTTTTGTGGTCCTTTTGTTGTTCAGACTACAATGAACATTTATTTAAACCAGATGTTGAATCAGAAAACGAATCAAATATAAAGCTTGAGTTTAATCTGTGATCCGTCTTCACTGTTTACATGTCCGATCGGCTGTAGCGTCCAATCACATGATTGATGAGGGGGCGTGTCGGCCATTAAAACACTTCCTAGAAGGCTGTTCTCGTGCGTCCTCGCTCATGGCTCCTCAGAGATCCCTCCTCCATCCTCGATCCTCAGAGCTAAATAAGAGCTTTGGGACGGTCATCAATATGGCGGCGCAGAACAACTTCCGGTTCAAGCGAGGAGCGAGGAAATGAGAATTAAGAGACTTGGGATGTACCCACAGACAGGTGCTCCAGACACGCCCCCTCTGAGAGAGTCAGACAGCTGCTGTAAACACGCCCCCTCTGTGAGAGTCACACAGACACACACCTGGTGCAGGTGCTGACAGAAGCAGCAGAGTGAAGCTAGACGGGCCCAATAGTAATATCCCAGTCACCACAGAAAGGTCTACCCTCTCCCCAGACAATGGAGATATTCTCATCTTTTTGAAAAATGTTTTAAAGTTGTAGACCATTTCACAGTAATGTAAACATTATTGTGTATTTGAATGACTTAACCTGACAGGAAGTAAACATAGACCCAAGTTGTTGCCGAGCAGTTCAGTTGAAACAGTGGAAGCTAGCTCACTGGCTGCTTCTTTCTTTCAGTATTGATCAAAGGACGAGGGTATCAACATACCTCATGTTGCACTTAAACTCAACACTTAACTTAACAGAATTAAGTATTCTTGAATGTTATATTTGTATTTGTTATTTATTTCAAATTGGACATCCTAAATATTTTCGTTTTTATGTAAGACTATAGCCCAAAGTTCTTTGCTTTAAGTATTCTTGAAGTTTAATTAATAAATGGAAAGCAGTTATATTTGACTCCTCCCCTTTTCTTTGCTGATCTGAAAAATGATCCGAACCTCGACTCAAGAACCGTGATCCGAACCGAACCGTGAGGTTTGTGATCCGTTGCACCCCTATTAAATTGTATGGACCCAGTAGTAGAGATGAAATGCTGCCCCCTATCTGTTTGGAGCATGTAGCCAGGAATGACGCACTGCACACCTTTAAAAGCTCTGGAAAAGCTAGAAAGTGGACCTTGAGGAATATAAATACTAGTATATCTGGTCATAAGTATTACTGAGAGTTAAAGTTATTACATGGAAACAGTAGTTTGCCAAACAAAATTAAAAAATAATATCAATGCAAATAATGTAGATTGAAGCCTAAAAATACTCCACAGTCATAGCACAACAGGTTTGTGGTCTCTCCAAGCTAATGTTACTTAGCAGGCCAGCATAAATGAGGTCCGAGTACAGAATTTCAAGCCAAATTCTCATTTTTGGAACCAGATTTTGCACTGCTCTATTCTAATTTTATATACTATATAACTACATATGAACTATATATTCACTTGCTTTATCACTAAGAGTGTTCAATACATCGTAATAAAGCAGTTTGGAATCATTTTCAGCCATGTTCAGCCATTTTTAGCTCCCATATGTCTCCTCCATGAAAAAAATCTGCTCTCACTCAATGTGTATGTGAGATTTGTAAGGCCTGTGATTGGCGGTTTTAATCATATGACACCTTGTTAGGTGCGGAATAGTCCATTGAAAGCCGTCAAGGGTGTTATTTGGAAAGTTGAGAGCCATTAGTCAGTAAAAAGCTTGATACGGTGGGCTCAACCCCCATACGTAAAAAATAGATTGGTCCAGGAGAAAAATGCGGGCCATTTTCTCATGAAAGGTCACAGCACGTTCATTTCAATGCAGGCAGACAGAGCAGGAAACGGTCTACAGCGCTGCAGCAACTTTCAATGGATTAACTGATTTTTTTGGCACGAAAATCACAAAAAGGTATGCAGATTTTCAATTGTTGTTCTGGAGAGCAGTGTATGGTTTCTTGGCGTTTGTCCTGTAACTTTTGAATGCTTTGTCGGAGGTCAATTTGGACACGCTGGGTCGACGCCGTATCGAGCCCTAGGGCGAAATCATGTATCCATCCGCCATGATCGCTGCCGGCTTTGTGATGAAAGACGAATTTCGGGTGCATAGTTCGCGGATTTTTTGGAGAAAAATCCTGATATTGTGATAAATCTTCTAGTTTATTGAATTAGTTTGTGTATAACTGTGTATAATTGTGCAAAATGGTTGGCATGATGATTTTGTCCGGACTTTTTTTTTTTTTTTTTTTTTTTTCGGCATTATATATGTCTGGACCATTTTTCATATTTCTTGATGAAAAGTCCATTCGGAACCTCGGTATCGGTACTCGAACCCCAAATGGGGCTCACTCGGGCTATAGAGGAAATGGTCTGAGGAAGATTGTTGTTACATTATTTTAGAATTCAGGAAGTATGTGAGCTCATGTGTGAGTGTCACTCCTCACCAGGCTGCTCCTCACTCTTCCTCGTCTTCTCCTGCTCCTCCCTCAGTTGGTCCTCCTGCCTGCAGGGTCGTCCCTCCTGGTCTCGGGGAATGATCGGACCATGGAAAGGACACTGACGGACAAAGAGTCACAGCTCAAACACAAACACACTGACAGAAAAACAAACAGAAACAGACATAAATGTCTGGAAAATCACTTTGTGTTCCTCCTGGTACCTTGAGGCGGTCCTGTCTCTGGCACAGCTTTCCGTTGCCCAGTGAAGCACTGCAGTAATGGTTGACAGGAGTGAAGCTCCCAGGGAAGGAGATATATCTACTCCTGCTCTCTGCCAAGAGCTCCTTGTTCTCCACCTCCTCGTCCACATCAATGGGAACCCAGAACTGATGCTGAGAGGACATCCTGCACAAGGACAAGACATGGGACCATAAGTCATGCGCAGGTTTCAGAAACCCGCATCTAAGATGCTTCCATAAATAAGAGAGTTCTATTTATGGAAGCCCTGAAAGGCAGGTGAGAAAAAATTATTGATATATTCTATATTATAAGTCTGATCGAAATAGTTCTCTCCTGTGTTGAAAAAGGATTTTGCCAGGATAAGCTTTCATTAAATAAAGTGCAGTTTTCTTCCATCTGTGAAACAGGTGGGAAGAAACGTTTGCCAGCATCATTTTTTATGATTTTATTAGTGACTTTTTTTCATCTGGGAAAACAGGTGAAAGAGAACGCCTTGTTAGGTGAATATATTTTTGTTCATTTTACATTCATTAAACAGCGGCTGTGAAATCAGCTGCAATAGCACAAAAAGTATTCATGTTGCCTTCTTCTGATTTACATCATTTGTTAACAGAATATATGTACCTTGTGTTTAGAGTGCATGGAAATATCAAAACTCTCCTGAAAGAAGACATGAATACTTCCTATTTAGAACAGGGGGGTGGGTAGTGGTGCACTTCAGCCTCTAGTGGCCAAAAATATTAACACAACAACAAACAAATGATCCTGCCAGAAACACAAGAGAGAAACAATTTAGTTCAGACTTAGGAAATGGATGACTATTTTTGTTTCTCTCACTTGCCATTGAGGGCTTCCGTCTTTTGCTGTATGGAATTAAATGTAAAAAGTACTGTAGTGGAAGTTTTGAGGGACATTGATTTTTCTTCCCTTTGTATGAAACACTGAAAAATATGCACTGATATTTATTCAGATATTTTAATAAAGATATGCAAACCCAGGTTATAATTCTACTGTTTTATTAGCATTACAACTCTGTTTTTTCTCTGAGAGACAAAACACACAACTCACAAAACTGTACAGTCATGTGTATAGCTGTCTTTGTATCTATCAGTGATACATCGTGTGTGTGTCTGGTGCATTACTTGATGATCTTGCCAGCGTTGGGCTGCTCCTGGCCCCAGTAGTACAGGTCCAACCCAAATGGAACCACAGGAGCATCGACAGCCTTCTGGTCTGAGCTGGACTGAGATGAACTGGGACCTGAGGAGCTGCTGCTGGAGGAGAGATCAGTGGAGGGAGAGTTAAACCAACTTCATGCACAAACAAATTCAACTTAAGAGTTTGTGGTCAACTATCACAATTGACTGAAACCCCGATACTGGCTTGAAAAAAGGACTGTCAGAGTATGTGGACAGCACTTATGGAATCATATGAAGCTGGTGTGTTTGACGCTTACAAAGGAGTAAAACGAGGGAAATTTATTAAAATTAAGTTTTTTGAATTGCTTGAACTAAAAGTTGAGGTTTACCTCTTTAATTAAAGATAAAAAGTGACTTCAGCAGTTATTGCATGAGGTATCAAACTGCAGCACCGCTCTGTGTGAGCACGAGTCAAACACACATCTGTAGTGCTAGAGCTAATATGGCTCATCTCTAATGATCTCTTAAACGATGCTGTAGAAATTTGTAAAATCAATATCAACGACACAACATGATTACTCAAGCTGTGAGGTTGCAGATCTAACTTTAGTGTTATAATGATTAAGTTCGGATTGCCCAAAGTCACACAAGAACACAAAAAACCTAACTGATGGTGGCAGGGTTTACCAGCAACTCGCATGTCCTGCGAGGAAAAATGATTGTTTTTGTCACATGAGTCTAGTGGCTTTGAAGAGAGCATAGAGGGATATAAGGGCTTCAGTTCCCTGTCAGAAAGGGCTGTCTAACGCCAAGGTAAAGCGGTGAAAACATTCTAAATTCTCACCGTACTCTATGCCTGAACTAGGGGGCTTTCGCATTGCATCAATTTATGTTCTTATATCCTTTGTAGAGCAGAAGTGTGATTACTTTGCTTAGTGTCGTCACCTCCACCCTAAAGCAGACGTAAGAACACTGAATGACTCAATGCCCATGCACCTTAGTTCAGTCAAAGAATAAGGTGAATAGGGTAAACCTAAAAGGTTATTCCTTTTTAGGTGCTTCTCCCACTAACACTCCTAGCCCATTAAACTGGCAAACTTTTATAGGCTTTAAATTACAATTTACAACCAAAAGTAGAACAATATCTTCTCCTCTTGAAAAATGTTGAAATTGTTGTCCTTTTCGTGCATTTTAGTGACACATTACTGTCAGGAAATGTGTTTTAAGTTTCAGTAACAACAGTTGTAAATCACAAACTGAATGTAAATTTCTGGTGTGAGAGTGCACACTCCCTGAGTCTCTGGGAGGAGGTGAACGGAGAAGAGAATGTGTGAGAGAAGGTCAGAGAAAGTGAAGGAAGATGAGGAAAGGTTAAAGGTAGAGTGATAGGACTTGTCAGTAGGTGTACCTGGACTGTTTGGGCAGAGGGAGGTTCTGTTTGAGGTGGCGCAGTGTGGCAGCTGCACATGTTGGATCCTGATCCTCCTCTGTAAGTCGCTTCAGCCGCCGAGAGGAGGAGGACGACAGAGGTGGTGGAGCTGCAGGTCTTTGAGCAGGAGGTTTTTTTGTGACTGGTGCTGTTGAGGTGGAAGGAGATGGATCCAAACCTGCCAACAGAGACAAGAGGAAGTTAAGATGGTACTGAACACTGTAGTGTAATGTGTAATGACACACTTTGCTGGCCTGTTTCTCTTTTTAAAAAGCCTGAAGCAAAGTGTAAATCATTATAACCCACACAAAACATATGTCCCATCCAATCCAATTATTTGTAAACCATTAATACATTTACTACAAGGATATCTATAAATTGTACTTTTGGCTGTTTATCATAATGTCAGATTGACCTATTTGGAGCTTAACAGAATTGACAGATACAGAATGAAGTTATGAAAGTGCTTCTGTGCATGCATCCATGCGTGTGTGTGTGTGGTCAAACACTGGGATAACCAGGGTCTGAGCAGGACTTAAAGACTCGCACATACACACAGCAGGTGAGATCAGAGGGAAGTAGTAAGCTGAGAGCTGCCAACATGCTGATCCCACACATTATTGGGGCTAAGCTGGATGCTTCAGAGACTCAATCGCTGCCATGGAATGATTTGCCGTGCACACTTTAACACTCTTTTTCTACTTGAACAGGATGAAGGACTTTTTGCATGTTCTCCGCTGCTTTAATTACAAAACAATTTACATACAAAAACAACAAGCCGATTTCTGCCTGAACGTATAAATGTGTAGAAGAAGCAAAGAGGAAAAAGTTCTGTGTGTTAAATACAATCCTTGTTTGGAATCTGTTTTGAACTAAGAACTACTGGCACCAGCTCGACAGTCTCACAAAGGATTTCATGGAATTCCCGGCCAAAAGGTTGGATTCCAAGAGGAATCATGTGTTCAAGATTGTGTTGCTGTTTGTCATGTCATATCATGACATGTGTGTCTGAGATGGATGTAAAGCACAGAACAAACACCACACTTTACATGGTAACGACTTGAAGCTGGATCAAACATTCTGTGCCGAAAGCCATGAAAAATAAAAATTGTTTTAGTCAAATCTAGCTGAGCAAAATCCGGTAGCCGTTAACTTAAATAATGGATTATTTGATTGACAGAAACTTCGTTGACAAACTTTTTGTTGTACGTTTCATTTTCATCACAGCTGATAACAATGGTGCTAGTACTGTTATGAGAACGTTAAACTAAATCCATTTAGGGTAAATAAAAATGTGAGATTTGTTGCTTTTCTTGTTCTTACATTATAGTACTTTGGATGGTTTGGGTTCATCGGACAAAACAAGACATTTAATGTCCGAAACATCATTTTTCACTGTTTTCTGCCATTTTATAGACCAAATATTACTTCACAACCGAGATCATTATCTGCAGATTAATCAATCAATATTTACAGCTCTAGGCTCCTGAACTCAGTATTTCTAAAAACCCTGCTTATGGCCCTGTCCATTACCTTGCATTATTTTTGCACTGTTCAATTTTCAAAGTAAAGTTTAACCTAAATAAATAAAACAGAACTAAATAGTCAAGTGATTGCCGGTTACCACAACCTTACTCTACCTCACCTTCTCTTTCTTTGTCGGATGGTGAAATACCGACTCAATCTGCTCTTTTCAAACTGCCACATGGCGGAGGTTTGTCTGGATGTTGTGGCTGTTAAGACACACAGATCAATGGGAGGAAATGAGTATAGTTGTGTGTATGTGTGAGAGTGTGTGAGGGGGGTTGTTAGAGAAGGAGAGAGAAAAGAGGGGTTAAGGGGGTTTGAGGGAAAGAGAGCGAGGGAGAAAGCGAATGAGGAAAGGCAAAAAGAGGTATTGATTTTCTCGGGTTAAGCAGGGCCTGTAATTAAAATGTTAATTTGAGAAAGAGAGAGATAGTGTCCTGACAGCAGAGAGAGGGATAAGAGACTGATAATCAGAATGACAGAACAGGACAGAGGGTAAGAAAGAGAGGAAGCGATAGAAAAAGAGAGGAAATAGAAGGAGGGGAATCAGAACAGAGCCAGGCTTTCTCTGAATGAATGAACACTGGAAGAAATTAAAAGAAAAGAAAGAGGAGAAGAAATGTAGAGAAATGATAAATGTGATCCACTGGCTGAGATGAAAAGAGACAGGAAGACAGAGAGCAATAAAGGCTATTGTAAGCAGAGAAAGTGAAAGAGAGCAGGTGAATTGATAAAGGAACAGTACTCAGTAATCCTAGAAATTCATTTGATACTGGGAATTGTTGTACAAATTAGTGTTTATTTTGTAATTAAATCAAATATATATGAATAGACGTTATAGCGTAACAGCTACAACTAGTTTGCAGGAAACATTATAAACTGGAGCCAACTGGAGCTGGGCGATAAAATTGTTGTCATCAACTAATTCAAATTACAGTACGAAACTTCTACAACTTCTCTGAGCTCCCATAGCTCTCATTTATTACATCATCTGAAAGACTGGGAGAAGCATGTGGCACTATGGGTTGCACAAGATGGCGGCGGCCTTAAAACTTATGATAAAAAATAATAAAATAATAAATTAAAAATATTTTTTCATAGAAAACTAGAACCTAAAAAAAACGTAAACTTTATAATCATCAAATACAGTACATATAGGTACATGCATGACATTTGACCTCTGCATCTAACCCATCCTAAGGAGCAGTGGGCTCAGTGGGTCGACCTCCTCTTCCCACTGAGCTGCATATAAGACGCGCCACTGAAAACGCTGTAAGACCCAGCTGCACACACGTTCCCTCCAGTCCCTATCATGCTTGGTCAATTAAAGCTATTGAATGGTGGAAGTGGCCGCTCAGACGAGAAAGTGACACAGCGAAAACCATTTGAGTAGGAAGCTTGATAACTATCAATCAACAATGTGTAAATGTACAGACTGAAGAGTAAAACCAATCAAACAAACAACCAATGGATACGTATGCAGGGTCCTTTCACTTCTGCTCAGTCGCTGGTGTGTGTGTGTGTGTGTGTGTGTGCGTGCATGTTTGTGTGTGGGGGGGGGGGGGGAATCTAGGTGCAGGGCTAATAGGGGCTCATTAAAGAGGTTGCATTGTTAATTTGGTATGGCCCCTGTAGATCATTACCTAGTCTACTAATCACCCATACTAGACACACACACACACACACACACACACACACACACACACACACACACACCTGTTTTGCGCATATCAGATACAATCTAATTACTTTAGCGTCTAATTGATTAGTAATGGGGGGAGGTGGGAGTAGAGAGGGCTCACAGGTAGAGGAGAGGCTCAGTGTGAATGTAATGACTCAGGAGGCTGGTGGGAAAAACTCGCCAGGGGTCAAAGGCCACCTCTCAGCCACAACATGGCTGACTTAGCAATAACAGCACTGTCTGCAACATGTTCTATTGTAGTGCCATTAACACACACACACACACACATCAATACACACACACATACAGTAAAGACACTGAAGTTCACATATGAATCTCTGAGTGATGGTGAGAAGCTTGAATATGGCTGACAGAGCAGCACTGTGAGAGTTTAATGCTTACTGTTGCCTGGAGCTCGCACCCGGCTGCTGATAATGATATAAACGGCATTCAAATTCAATCTAATATTTAGAAAAAAAATGTTGCCATATAGCTGACGTTGCAGCAATAAGATGAGCGGGCAGTTGGTTAACGACCTGAACATTTGACCTTTAACATAGAATGTTACCTGGAGGCTAGATATGATCCATACAAGCCCAATGCAATCCCGGTGCAAGAAGGAACAATACTACAGCTATTCATATGTAGCTAGTGATGACTGTGTGGGTGAAGGTAAATGGATGTGTTGACAGGACAATATCCATCAAATATACACAGAGAAAATGCTTGGGGAAAAAAAGACGATCTGTCTCCATTATAAGGTTGTGCTGCATTCCAAATCAGACAAAAACACAGTTAGCAGTCAGAACTCAGTATGTGAGACCAGGCGGACCCAATATCTCCCTCATTGTGATCTGATTAGGCTCAATAGGCATTTATGCCAGCTGCGTTCATCGATATATACACCAAAATGACCTTGCAGGCGACTATGAGCAGCTGGCCTTCACTGTACGGTCTACCTGGGTGGATAAACACACAAGATGTAACGCTGTGCTTGGTTTTTAAAGCTTCAGTAATTAATATTTTTACATGAACAATCTTTCAAATGGCTGTGTTTAATGTTACATAGTTCACTCCCTTGTAATGACGAAACCGCTGAAACTCCCACTAACTCCCACCATCTCTAAGGGGCATTTAAGCATCTTTCAGATCACTGTTTTCGGTTTTACGGCCCCCAAATTCACCATCTGATTTAGTTGTGCTGCTCTGATTTAACTCTTTCCAGCAGCAGCAGCTGTTTCAGTGAAAAGGCTCTGATAAACCCACTGTACACTACCTGCTCAGCAGCCAACAGCAGACAGACACAGTCAGACTAGCTGGTGAACACAGTGGAGCGTTTAGATGCTAAAGAGACAGATTCCCCTGAGGAGTTTGTGGAGACCAAATCACAGCTTAAAGAGTGAATATTGGACTATAGGACACTGCTGGACTTGTAAATACGCAACTGCATAAACTAATACAATGTCAATGTTGTGTTTACAGCTTGCTCCGATTCCCACAAGTTTCCAAAGAAATCTATAATACTAATAACTAATAAAGACACAGTAATAATCACTGTAGAGGTGTTGTCTCTCTGTAGTCTGTTACCTCTTTAACAAACTGTGTCCTGTTTATAAGCACAGGACCGATTTCTACCGACAGAATGCGTTTGACTTATTTATGAATTATTTGCGTCTGTACGTTTTGAAATTCAGATTGTGACGTCATTATTAAATAACCCAGAATATGATTATAGTTTCTCTTAAATGATAAAACTCATCAAACCCAACACTCAGGAATGATCAGCCTCACGTGACTGAATGAAATTATAAATAATGTAATAAGTGTTTAGTCTCTCCAGCTCTCTCTGACTTTAATTGTTTCCATAATAAAAGTTATTGAGGGAAACATCAGATCATGAAAAGACAAATCTTTCTCATAAATGAAGAAAGTTGTTTGTGGTCCTTTTGTTGTTCAGACTACAATGTACATTTATTTAAACCAGATGAATCAGAAAACGAATCAAATATAAAGCTTGAGTTTAATCTGTGATCCGTCTTCACTGTTTACGAA